ATTATGAAATTTTTCCTGAATATGTTCATACGTTTCCGATTGCAGCAAGATCGAATCTTCGTGATCTTTATCATTTTATTTAAGGGGAATAAAAGAAAATCCGCTTCTATCGTCGTGACATTTGCCCAACGACGGTTACAGCGAGAATTCGCGTTTTAACGCCTCGACTTGACTTGTAAACGCGGGTTACAGCGTCAGGTGTCAGCGGTGAAATGTGGTTGCAGGCTGTCATTTTCGAATAATTGCGACGAGATATTTTCAAACTGGACGTTTTGTCGAAGACGGACATAAATGTAAAACGATATAAAACGGAGTGATGGAAATAGTAGAGCAATGATAAAAATAGAGAACTGGAAAAGCGATCTTCTTTATCGTTCTCCGCAATCTCGCTTGATTTCACGGTAGATCCCTGTCGCGGTAGCCGCGACTCGTAGCCAAGTAACGCAAATACTATACGGAAACGTTTCATGGCTCATGCCATGGCTTGCATAAAGCCGCCGTGTAAACTGGATGCCACGCGAACGATCGTTCAATACTCGAGACGCGCCGCGGAAAGAAGATATAATTTCACGTTTATTTATACATTAGCCGAGCGAGTGATTGGAGTTTTCTCGCCGGTCGCGAGGCGACCGCTCGTCATCCTCACGGATCGATCTGTATCTCAAAGTGTGATGCATCGTACCTAATTATATTGACATCGGTGCATGCGCGGAGCGGCGCTTCCGGGTTGCATTCCGCGGCGGAATGTCGTCTCTCGGATCTCGGATCTCGTATCCGACATGTCTACGTGGACATATCCTTTCAAGCACGGCCGACCCGAGACTCGGCGAGAACCAAGCTGGTTCCGTCCTTCTCTCCGGCCAATTTCTCGCCATGCGAATAACAATAACTGTCTCCCCGATACCGATTTTCTCAGGCGTTCGTGCGCGATTCATAAGCGTGCGACCCGATCCTGAGATGTAACGCCTATTCGCTTCTAATAAACGCGCGCAACGTGATTTATGATTGGTTTCCATTTCCAGCGCCGATCGTAATTTTCCGTTCAACGGCCGCACTTTGTTGAATTCGTTGATACCGGTCGGTCTTGAACGGGGGCGAGTCATCTTTAGGCGGATTTACCGCATGCACCGTTCGAGCCGGCGCGGTGGAATGCAGCTCGTTCGATCGGATGCATCGAGCGTGCCTCGCGAGTCAGATCGAACGCGATTCTTTCGGCACGAACGTGACAAAACGTGACCTGATTTTTCCGCGCGATGGAGGATTTCAGCGAAAACGAAATATTTCAAGAGTATATCGCGATTCTCACTCGTCGATCCTTCAAGAAACACCGGGGAATTAAATTTTCAACGTACGACTTGATGAAAAAAATGCAACTTTTTGCATTCCGCTAAATAGTTCTACGTGAACATCCTGAGATTTTCCAAATATTCCACTGAGGTTCACTATTCCGTGTCAACAAGCCGATCGTAACATTTTAGTATGCATATCCACAAACGTATCCATTGAGTTCTGAATAGTGAGTAATTTTCTATAAAGTCCAAGATTAGCTCGGGTAAAACGTTGTCTGGAATTTATGTGCATTAACATTTAATAGAAAGTACTCGATATCAATATCTGCTAATTACTCCGACGTCGAAAGCTTTCCTCGGGAGGTCAATACTAATCATCGCCCTTTGCAATCGCAAATTGAAAGGCGGGCGTCAGATCGCCTGGGAAAGGTCGATCCCCTTAGGAGTCGCTCATTAATGTGCGGTTCGGCTGAAATGATGGAATGCGCTTTTCGTTTGTGTGTTTTTAAGCTTATACATAATCGGCGCGATGTAGGCAAGCAAATCTTCCGAGCCGCTTCATATCAGATCGGTGCTGATGATCTGGAACCCATGCGTGTTACATCAAGGATCGCTATTTTTTTTATTCCCCGAGTACTCGAAGCGACATAAAACCACAAAAATCGATCAACATTAAACGTTACGTGTCGTCGTATCTTTCTCGGAATCATCGATCTATTAATGTTTGAATAAATTCAAATGGACAGACGTCCCGATGTCGATCGCGAGGAGGAAACACACTGATAGAAAACCGTTGGCAATAACATAAAGTAAACCGCCCGCGTCAAGATAGAGTTTCGGCTTTGAAAAGAATCCCGCAGGGGTTCTACCTCGAAGAAAGAGCTATCGACGCCAATCCGGTTGGATTTGTATAGGTGTCGGCCGTGTGTGACATTTGTTATCTTTGGGTCAGTATACTGCGTACACACGGGGTCCGTGCCGGCGCGCTTGAATGCCGTCTTCTGCGATCTCTCGCGCACGTACGGACGCACGTCAGTACGCAAGTATGCGTCAGAGATCGCCGTCTCTTCGATTGGAAGTGAACCAAGTGAAAGATCTCGAAAAGGAAGGCGATTAAGGGGGAATGGGACCTTGAGCGCGGTCAGCCACTGGAGGAGAGCTTCGACGGAGGCTGAAGACCGCGGCTTGGGGACGCGGGATCGCCATATTGTTGCGACTAGTAAGCTCCGCTGGACCCCCTGATCGGTCCCCAGCATCCGCCAGCCGTAACGGGCGCGAGCGGCGCCGGATCGATCGTAAATGTCGCGAAACAATGTGGGGATACGTGACAATTAACTTGGAGGACTTGGAAATCCGCCGAGCCAATGTTAATACGCACTATGGGTACGCTCGTTTACGCTTATCTCCCAGATGCGAGACGCAACGATTTGAATAAAGTGTGCCGTCGTCAACCTCGTGTTTTTGGAGAAATTCCACGAAAGCCGCACGCCAATTTCGTCTCCAACTTGAAAAGAATTATAACTTCGACGAGTGTTGTTTCCTAATAGCTGCAGCTCAGAATATTATTACCCACAAAGACTTCCAACGTACATATATAATGACGTGAGATAAAAGACTCGAGACGCAAAATGACGCAACGTATTTTCACGTGCTTCGCGCAAAACGCGGTGAGTGTAATGGATATATCGTAAGAAGTTTTTACGACTTCGTATTTAACGGGGTTGAGGGAACGAGCGAAGTCCGCTCGTCGGGCCCGTTGGAAAAATGATCGGGTGAAACGTCGCCGGCACTCCGGCAACCCGTAGGCGCCTGGCTGTAAAGTCTCGCGTTTTAATACGAACGGCAGTTCGTTAGCGATTCGCGCGAGCATCGGCTGTTAGGCGATTCTCGAATTATTCTTAACGGTTTTGTTCTCACACCCACACCTGGCCGGCGGCCGGGAATCCGCGGAGGAGTTCGAGTCGAGGAGAAACGCGCCGGCCGCGCGTCGATTAGAGGCCGCGTCGATGGAATTTCCTTTATTTCCCGCTTTGCAAGCGTCCGGCTGCGATAAAGTCCCAAGTGCAGATCCGCCGATACACTCCTTATCGTACAATTCGCTTCAGGAATTGCGCCGTTCGCGTTGCGGGAGAAAAAGAGAAGAGAACAAGACAAAAGTGGAGAGACAAAAGTGAAGAGAAACGGGAGAGAGAGAGAGAGAGAGAGAGAGAGAGAGAGAGAGAGAGAGAGAGAGAAGACGATGTCGAAATCGCGCGAGAAGCGAAGCCTCCGTCATTGGAAAATTGTATGTCACTCGTAACGTTACCCGGCGTTCGCCGTGCGTGATCGGTGCATCTTTGAAAAAAAATACCGCGCAAATTAATTATTATATGAGCGCTTATTATTTCGTATTGTCCATCCTCGTAATCCCTTCTATTATAGAAACTGCCTTTTTCCATCAGATTTTTTTTCCCCGACGGGTGTGGATTCCGTTACCTTGAGAAAAAGGGCACGAAAGAAGTATGCGAGAAAGACCGCGTTACGATTGGTGAATTGCTTTCGATAATATACTTCATTGGGTGCGTATTATGTGCGAATTATTACTATCGCTCGAAAGGCGCTCGATTTCCGGTATTTCCACGGCGAGATTATCGTTTTCTCGATCGGTCCATGTTGGCGGGATGGACATTTTTTTCATTCAGTTTGCGATGAGGGAAGACGAGCATGTGATAACGTGTCTCTCGTCTTTAAATGGGTTTCGCGAAGAGCGTGTATTACGCAAATAGATAATCTCATTGAAGACAAGTGCCTTCGTGTTCACAGAAAATGGTGGAGAGCTTTCTCGAGGTGGTGTTTGAGTTGAAATAAATTATAAGGGACACGAACACACACACACACAAGCACACACACACACACACACACACACACACACACACACACACACACACACACAGGCACAGGCCAGGGAAAGAGAGAGATAAACAGAAAGAGATAGAGAGAGAAAGAGAATAAGCGTCGACAAGACATCTCGATTAAAAATGCTCCGCGCCACCCCGCGCGTAGCATTCTCGCGGTTTGCGAGAAAACGCGTCAAGTTATCCGCATGAAAATACGCAGAATGCGTAGAAGTGACGAATAAGAATTTCTACCGGCGAGGAAGGCGCGCCGCTACACGCCTTTGTCTCGATTCGCGAGACCTGCCTCCGTTTTGAATGCATTCGCGCCCGCGCGAAACCGGAGAACTGTATGGGCGCGTAACGCAAGGTGATTAATGCGTAACCTTTATAAAACTCGACGGTGACGTAGCGTGGTAGCATGGGCGCGGGCCGGGCTGTTCTCCAGTCGTGCGCTGTACACCCGAGCGTTTTTTTCAGAATTTTCTTCCCGCATTTCGAGCAGAAAGCAGAACAATCCTGACCGCCGATGACAGTGACACTCCCGATCGCGGAAGAAATAAAGACGATTGGTGACGCGATCGAAAGTGAAGCCAATTATTTAATTAGCGGTTCAAGGTCGCTCCGATTGATGACGATACTAGTTTTTTTTTTACGCAGCTAGGTCTTAATCGACGCAAATGTCTGATTTGTTGCCTTTTGCTATCAACGAGCGGATCTCTAATCGTTCTCCGCCGGCCTCGCATTCTTCCGTTAATTGGATAAATTGCGGCTTTATTGACTTAAATTGTATTTTGAGATTTAATTAAAACTTAATTAGCGTATTAAACGGACTTACCGTTTTTAACGAACGCATCTTTCTTGATCGCAGGAGACGATTCTTCCGGCTCCGCCGTACGCTCGCTGGAATCATTCACGTCTGCGTTACTGCAACAGGTCAGAGATGATATCATTTTTTTAACTGTTTAGAAGAGAAACAGCTACATCTCTTTATCTCAACGCTCGGTTCTTTCTTACATTCCCCATAACACTCGATTGCGAATAATTATGAAATAATTAATGATGTAACTTATTATATACACGCTCGCGCGTTTCAAGCGTTAGGAAAGTTGGAAGCTTTAATAAATAGCAATCGCCGTTCGAATGATTTGAGAGGCGATTGCAGCGTCATGCAAAGAAGGAGAGATCGCTTTTCAAAGCAATAAGCAAATGTCGAGCATTTGCATGGAGGCGTTCACCCCGTGGGACGGCCGAGTCGAACAGTCGCGTTCGATTCTCGGTAATCGACAACCCTCTTTTCTATTCTTAGAACGGTCAATTAACCTTTTCTCCATGTGCCCGCGCACGGCAGGTAACTCATATCCATAAAGAAAGTGAATTAATTTCTTTTTAAAGTTCATTCGTTGCGTGGCGCTGCCATCAATGAGTTTTATAGTAATCTATTCCTCGACACAATTCCCAGCGGCTTATCTCGCAATCGCGCTTATTTTGTTAAAAATAAGCGGAAATATTCTAATTAAAATTCCACCATATACATAAGTTGCAATTATTATTCAGTTACATAATAAGTTAACGATATCAAATGAATATATTAGACGAAAGTGAAAATAAATCACGTTTCTTTCAGAAGGCTATGTTCAGACCTAATAAAATGCCTTAGAATCTCTTTTCATTCGTATTGTAGTTGTTAAATAATAATATCTATGTTAAGATAGAAATCTCTAATTGTAAACTCACGCGTTTACATATTCCAGGGAAGTTTCTTCCTCTTCGCCAATGGTAGCGAGATTACTTTGCCAATAATAATCGCCGTCGTCACTTTCGTCGGTGGTGTCTTCTTCCTCCGTCACTTCCTCGTTGTCTAATATCCGATTTATCTTTGGATTTTTTATGTCGTCGTTCACCACGTCAAGCGATCGATAAGTTTCGTTATCCTCGTTCTCTCGCACTGTAGAATTATCGGACGACAAAGTGCTTTCCGCGTTTACCGGAAATATTTCCTTAAAAGTATCCTGATCATTTGTCCTAGTTTCTTCTTGATAAGAATTTTCTGATTGTGCATGTTTTTCCTCTTCATTATTTGATTCGTCAATGTGTTTACCGACTGATTCTAAGTTTGAGTTTTGATGCTCCGAGAGAATTTTATTCGTCGTTTGCAATTGATCTTGTTCGCTTCTACTAGTTACTTGATCTGTAACTTTATTATTTTCGTAATTTACAGTTTCCATCGCGTTGTTTGGCTTATTTTTTACAATATTCTTCTTCTGATCAGACTGCAAACCTTTGGCCACTCTGATCTCGATAATCTCAAAGACTTTATTCGTCTGTGTATCTTCTTCCTTTGCAATTTTGTCTTTCTCATTAAGGCAAGCATCTTTCACGTCTGGCTTTTTCTCGAGATTGCTATTTAAATCTTCAATTTTTTTATTCTTTCCGTCGAGAATTTCGTTATTTTTATTCGACGAATTGCAATTTTCTGATCGACCGTGTTCTGTGCTTTTACCTTGAGAGAGATGCTCGTTTTCTTTTTTCGTTACGTGATTAGATTCGTTCGACGACGAAGGTTTAACTTCTCTTCGCGGCGTTATAGTCGGCGGTGGAGGCGGCGGAGGTGGTCTTTTCCGTCTGGCCTTAACGTCTTTTCTCGGCAACGGTTTCGGCGGTAATACAGGAGCTTCCGGAAGTTCTCTCTCGGGGGAGACCGGCACCGTCGCGGAGATTCGCGAATGTGCCTCGTTTCCCGATTCGCTCGCCTGCTGCGTCTGATTCACGCAGATCCTATTAACGTGATTTCTAGCCGGCAACGGCGGCGGCGACGATCTGTCGCCGTTGCATCTCTCCGTGCCGGAGACGCAGGTCGCCTCGCGGAAGTCCTCGTGGTTGCCGTTGACGCGTTCCACGAGCTCCACGTCGTCCTTAATTGGCCTGAAATGCGTCGTCGAGTCGGCGGCCAGGTCGGCCGTATAGAAGAGATCCGGCCTGGCCTCGTGCCCGTAACTCAGCGGGGCGTCCTGAAAGCTGAGCGGCGGCTGAAGGGTGATCGTCTCCTCGATCAGCACCGTGTTCGGTGCGACGACCGCCGTGATCCGCTCGACCTCGCCCCGCGACTCCACGTGCGTCACTGCCTCGGAACTGGCGAGACGGCGGAGCAGATAATCGGGCGGATTCGAGAAGTCCCGCTCGAGATGCTCGAGCGGGCAGATCGCTCGCGACAGCAGCACGTCCTGATCGGACGGCCGGTCCGAGTCGCGATCGACGCTCGAGAATTCGTTCGGCTGCTCGGAACCGGCGGTCGACGCCGTGGAGGTCGTGGAGATGGTCGACACGCGATCGGACGTCGAGAATCTATCCATCACGGTGGACATGGAGCTGCCGGTGTCGTCGGACGTACTGCCATGCGTGGAACCGCATTGCGACCGCGCGTCCAGATAAACCATCGCTTCCGGCGGTTCCTAAAAACAGGAAGACATCTCTTTTCATCTCTTTGTATCTTCAATTTAATACGTTTTTTTTTAGATATTCTAAATATTCTAAAGCTCCGCGCACAATGGAGGAAATGTTAAATTTTGAAAATAAAAATTTAATTAAACGTACGTAGTCATATTTTATACTTATTTATGTCCATTGTGCGTTTAATCTTTATTTTCGAATTTTCATTTCCAAAATTTAATGTTTAATGTTTTCTGTTCCTAATATTTCTTTCATTGTGTCAAGATCTAGCAGATATATTCATAGTTTGTTCTTATATTTAAGATTGCCTTAAATAAGCTGTAATATCATTTGGTTGAAATGTAATATTAAAACAATCTTGACTATAAAAACTAATTATAAATATCGCTCTTAATGTACTTTTTTTTTCATTATTACAACCTGCTTCGATTTCGCGAATTCCGGGCGGTCCTTTAGAGATTCCTTCGGGCTTTCCTGATTCGATCCATTGACACTTCTCGGCGAGGACTCGCAACTCTCATACGAGTTTATTTTAGTCACGCATTGTAATTGCGAGCCCGGCGAGCCGTTCTGCGATCCATTTTGCACTCCATTCTGCGATTTCGGACTGTCCCATGATTTTTTAATAGGACTAGGATTCGCCTCGCCATCCGCAGATCCTCGAGGATGTCTCAGCTTCCTCGGTGGCACCGGCGGCGGTGCCGGCGGTAATTCCGGTGGCACTTTATTTCTTTCAATTTTCCTCTCGGCGCTCACCACTTCCGGTCTGAGGGCGCCGCGGCATCTCACCATCAGCCTGATGACCAATTGCGACTCCTTCAATCTTCTCACGCAGTCCAACCGGGTCATGTGTGTCACCGGTATACCGTCGATCGAAAGTACCTACGAGAGATGTAACGTGATTGTCGAGTGCGGAGAAGAGGCGCGGAGAAGTGCTTATTGCCCACGATAATTTGCAATGTAAACAAGCAACTGAGGTGAGAGGAAACCTCTCTTGAGGATCATTAGGGAGGAAGTAGGTCTTGAAAATCATAGACGGCGAAGTGCACCGTGGGAGCCGAAAGAGAGTGCACATGCAGCCGTCTCATTTTGCAGCTGTCCCACAAAATGAAAACGCATCGATATCCCAATTTGCACTTTTAATCTTATCGACAGAATGCTCTCTGAAGAATGTAAAGCCGACTTTTCTCTAATGAAGATGTGGAACATCGTTGTATTCGGTTTAAGCACGCCACTTCTCTCTTTTCCATTCAAGATACCAACATTATGCCACAGATGCATACGCGGTTCGATGCACGCAAATAATTATATCGTCATCAATCATTATATCGACATTGAAATACAGTAGGAATCTATCGTTCGGCCATTGTGATCCTTATCCATTACAAGAGGAAACCTGCCGGTTCCGTAATTGAAAGCGACATGTGTGACGCGCGAAGGATTTCGCGTACCGTTAAGATGAATGAATGAAATCATACATGTTCATGAATGTTACTTTCTTGAATTTATCACGTGCATTACAGCACAACATATCACGTCAGCGAAAGCAGAGATGTTAACGCGAGGAAAACAAGATCAAGAAAGCAGAATTGCTCGCGTACGTCTAAGAATTGCTCTCGAGAAAATAAGTGGAAAAGTCTAAAGTAGAATGTATTTAGCGCTTTAGATTATCATTATTACCTCGTCCCCTTCGCCTAAGGTGCCCCACGAACATTTCGCTCTACTGGCCGGACTTTGCTCCGCGCAGCTTTGCACGAACAGCCTTCTGACTCTCTCGGACGTCTTGTTGCCGCCTTCGAATTTCAATCCGAAACCCAGACGTTCCCCGGGCAATCTGAAAACCTCGACTTCCTCCTCGAGATGGCCGTCCACGCCGTTCACCAGATTCTTACTCGCCGCCGACGACTCCTCATCGTCCTTCTTTCTATTTCCGATCGACAGAACGGTCACGAAATTCTCCGACATCGGCTGGCTGCCGACGCTCACCACCGTCACGAACTCCTCCGTTGTGCCCTTGGCGATATCCATTTTCCAGGTTGATCTTAATTCATGGCAAGTTCGCTGATCTTTACGCTCCACTGGAATGCTGGCCACTCCCTGAAAATAGATCAAATCATTGCCGACAATTCTGTGACGCTCGGTGGCGTAATCCGGAGACAGGTTCTTATCGGGACCTGTTTAGTCTGGAATCAACAGGAGGAATTATTATTATTCGAAAGAACGGAAGATAATAAAATGGCTCGACACACACAATCGAGCTACAACACAAATCACGACGAACGCAGAAAACCCAAGGATCTGTCTTGAGGAAATTTGTAATGTTCCTCGTCGTCGCCAGATGGTTATTTTCTAATCATATCCATTTACTCGCGACGTAGAATCAATTCAGCGAACGAACGCCGACAGATAAACCGTGTCACATGGTGCCGAGGATCGCGGACGATCATTAAGCGATCTTGGCTACGCGATGTCGGCGTAGTCGCGTGACCAACTTAATACGGAACTTTCATGTTCTCGTCGTACCTGCTCGTTTTACTGATTAGATTGTTACACATATATAGATAGCAGCCGGGCGAATTATAAACAAACAGAGCACGTGTAGATATAAATTGCATTGCGATGCAAGACATTTGTATACCTGATGATGCGTTGTAACTGTAATTTGTATTCTGTTATACTCGACATCTCGTTTCGTCACGACTCGTCGCTCCAGGAATGGAATTTTATTCCACCATTTTCGGCAGCAAATATTTCGAGAATTATATTCGTGTCAATGTTAATACACGATCGATGGCCAATCGAATCTCCGTCTTTCCTTTCTCTTGTAAGTTTTCATGCGATTCAGTCGTCGTAACGTTTAATATTACTTCGAATATTAAAGGCGATTCTTGGAAATCTCGAAAGGTTTTCAATCGAATATTTTTCATGATTGCTTGCTTTCATCTGCTGTTAAGTATCGAGGCGAACGTCGGCAAATTACAAAGATAAATTTCTTACATTGAGAAAAGTTCGCGACGTGGCTCTCCGGTTGTCATAAACATTCTTCCGAGCCGAGTGGGGTCTCTCTCCGAGCATCCGACTAATAAATCTTCCTTCTTATTTTTCTCTCGTACTGGCAGGTGAACAACGTGCACCGCCTCCATCCGTTTTCACCCATCAGCATCCCGATAATTTAACGATATGTATACCGTCCGTCGTCGTGAAAGTATGTCCGCTTCCACTCGAAGGCATCGTGCACAGCCCCCCGTCGCCAGTATCACCTCTGATCTCGGCAGAATGTGAGAAGTAGAAAGTAGATTGACCCGGGGTCACTGTCGAGCAATCAGCTGATCGCGAAGATCCCAATTGCCAAATATATTCCAGATTCGATTCTCTTCCTTGTATATTATGTCTCCCATTGTTTTTGTAAAACGATTGAATCGACGTCGTGATATAATCGCGTGAGGTTTAAAGATGTACTACACCTTCTTTTATAATTTTTATATTACGATGAAAAAATTACAGGTTATTCTAAATCATATTTTTTAAAAATTTAGTAGCGGTTTAGAATTTAAATAAAAAATTATTTATAAATAAATAAGTAGAAAAGAACCCTAGTGGAAATGTAATAATAAAAAGTAATAATAAAAATCTCAATTTTTTTATATAAGCATTTTAAATATTCAAGATTATTTATGTAAAGTTTCATTGTGATACAGAGATTAGTTATCCTATAAATAAAAATTTCGTTCTATTTTATTATCATTTGTTTCGTTTATACTTTTAATAAAAAGTTAATTTTCATTTCACACAGTGCCTAATCTCTACATCGCAATGAAACTTTGTATAAATCATCTCAAACACTTAAAGTACTTATATAAAGAAATTGAGATTTCTATCGTTATTTTTTAATTACATCTCTATTAACATATTTCTATTTTATATTTAAATAATTTTTTCATTGTAAATAAAAATAAGTGTAATATATCTTTAATATAACGCGAGTATCGAATAAATAATTATCCCTTACCAGTAAAAGTGCATATGAAATAACAGTATTCGAAGTCGAAGATGCTCGTTAATTGATTGTGCGAGGTTTGTGAAGAATTTTCCACGCCAATGATTAAACTAATCGAGTGCATCGGCGATGATTTTCCGTGTCGCGTGCAGTTACGGAATTAATTTACTTGTCGGAAGCGTGCGTCGATTTACTTTCATGAAATATTTGCTCATTGATCTTTCATCTGCGGCTGGGGAGAACCACTGCGTGCATCGACGCGCGTATATTCATATCCTCCGTAATTTATTATGCGGTAATCTATGATCGATACTTTGTTATATTACACGTGTCAAGTGAGATGCATATTTGATCGATGTTAATGTTCAGCGAAGTCGACGAGGATCGTCGTCGTCGAAGATCGGTGTCGAAAATCGCAAGATAGATGGAACATAAAAATCTGGTCGTGGGCAGAGTATAGGGAGATCCAAGGAGCCGTACAAGTGCGTGTAACGGAATTCGTAGCCGCAGGCCGATCACCACATTCTCGATATGCCGTGTTGGCTCTCGAGCGAGCGTGGGCACCGAAACCTCGTAAAAATATCGCGAAGTTGAACCGCGATAACCCGAACGCATATTCGACGACGAATCGGGCTTCGCGGTGACGTCAATTTAATCCCTCGCTCCTATACCTGACAGTGCACTCCGTCCGAACTAATGCCCTCTCCCTCAATAGGGGGAGGGGCACCACTTCCCGACGAGAATTTAAGAAGATATGGGGGCGGACCCGAGTCGCGCTTTCTTCCTCTAATATATTCTATTTATTCGCGTGGGAAAGGATTTGCATACTGTGACCGTTATGGCCACCCGGCGAGTCGTATAAATGAGAAATGAATCGAGTGCACGCTAAAATCAGCTGTGATATACGAGATTAATGTTGTACAAAATTCGAATCGTGCAACGCGGACGTCGCGTCGATGCCGAGCGGATAATTGAAGGTAATTAGGCGCGAGGAAAGCACGAGGCCGAATGTTCTAATGGATACAAATTGCATGCCGGCGAAGCCCATTCGGGAATCCATCCGGGATGGCCATTAAAGTTACTTCACAAGTGTTACGCGCGGAAATGCCTGCGCTCACCAAAGGCTAAATGGGACTACATCGAACCTTCGGAATTCCGCATTTTCCCAGTGAGAGTCACAAGCGCGAGCGACGCCGCAATGCGCCGCGTTACGCAACAACAACTGACGCTCGCCGACACGCTCCGCGGATTTTGACAACGTGTTCCATTCATTATTTAAATCCCAGCCGGCGACTCCAGCTGTCCTGGAAAAACGGTATTCCGAGCCCGACGATCCTCGGCGGTGACTCGCGGAACACGCTCGCGCGAGGGATACAGACAACAACGTCGATTTATGTGTTACTGTACCACGCGCGTGGGAAGATACGTGTTTACACGAGCGTCGACCGTTTAATTGCAAAAATAAAATGCGCGATTGCTACGACGATCGGGCAATCCTTTTGTAAGAAGAAGTGCAATTTCGCAATCGATTTTCAACGGGCGTCTGATAAATTTCCTGATGAAAATCGGCCGCTATCTTGCGAAAACATCTCTCGGATGTTAAAAATTAATAATTCGGAGTGATATTATATTATTTTTAATATTTTCTTTCATGCTCATTATCCGCCAGAAATGGTAATTGCCTCCTCGCCTCGGTGTTGAAACGCTACTTCCCCTGTACTTCGATCGACAGATAATCATGTTCAGCACATGCATAATAATTTTTTTTTTTTTTGCAACGTACGCTTCCTACCTGAAGCGTAGCATGTGCATGCGCTGAAACTTTCACGAGATTGAAAATAATTATTTATGAACAAGGGAGTATGTATTTTCGCAGATAGAAAATCACGAAAAGTGATTACAAATTTATATTTGAAACTGATTTTGTGAAAGATAGCTTTTCGCTCAATGAAGAATTGAAGAATCGGTTTTTCATTTATTGGTTCGTCAGAAAATTGTAAGGTAATCGCTGCTCTTTTCGGTAATTCTTTAATTTGGAGCCTGATATTCGTAACGGGACTTTGATTGTACGTTAGCTACAAATTATTGAAAGCGTTTGCGGAATAGTTTTCTATGACGTGTACCGAAGCCGTATAAAATATGCATACAGAATATTGCTAAATGGATTAAGCGAACATTCTTTTGATATAGTGTGTATATATAAAAAAAAATATCTCATCACATAGCATATTTAATAGATTTCGTATAAGGTTTCAAAACTAGTAAATGTCAAACCTCTCATAAACGTAATTTACTAAGAAACGTGACATTAAGAAATGTTTGACGTTTAAGCAGCTTTCCAGAATGCCTCTCTGGATTCTGCCTGGTTATCGTTTTATATTTCACTCGGTATCGGTTTTCGCAACGTTTTGCATTTTTTTCAAAGTGCAGTTAGCACCACTGACGAGTCGCGTGAGGAGAACGAACGCAAAGAAAGCAATATCCTTGAGATTACGACGATCTCTTCTTCGCATTTCCTCGCAATTTCCTAGATGAGCATCGTGCGGTACGTACCATTCATAGGCATTGCTAAATCCTTCGATCGTTACCACGGCCCGTGCAACACTCCGTACAGGACTCGGCCTCACGTTTTTTTTTTTAATCCTCTCGCGCACTCGTGTCTCTTGACAGCTCGCACGTGCGTTCTCCAGTAGAATATTCCCTTTGCACGCGCGCGAATATTTCTGTCGAGATTCGATGGACGTTCGATGGACGTTCGACGGATCGCTGTTTCGCGGCGTCGCGGAACCGCCGAGATCGAGAGACGTATCGCTTCGGAAGTTAATCCGGAGTCCGGGACTGGTGGGTTCCGGTGCTCGGTGCCGGTGAACGAACGTGCGTTCGCTGCGTGCGGTCGCTGCGTGCGTGCGTGCTGCTCGGAACGGAATCACGTGGCAGGGAACGCGCGAAAAATCGATGGTTCAACGTGCATTCGGGACACCGCACCGTGCCGGACTGATGAGCCGCTCGGTAGGCTGACTTTCTTCCACGGCGCGGCCGCAACGCGGATTGCCCCTTTGATTACGAACACCGTCCCTCTTCCTCTCTCGCTCGCTCCACGCGCCTCGCCGCGTCTTTCTCCTTCTCACCCACCACTCGTCCGTCCCGTTTCCACGCGCGCATTCCCTTCCCTCGCTCTCGCTTCCTCTCGCGCCCGCTCTTTCTCCCCGTTAGGTCGCCAATCTCCTCTACACTGGCGCAGCGACCGTTCCTTCCATCCTCTCGCTCCGGGTGTACCACTCCTTTCCTCAGCAATGTCGTCGACGTGCCGAAGCAATCCTACGAGATTCTACCGACGTCCTGTATCATCCGCGAGAGATTTTTAATGAGAGGATTTTTAATGAGAGCTCGAGCCGAGATCGTTAGTGCTCGAGCGAAATTCTTCAGCCAGAGTCAATTCTGTCTTCTTTTGGTTTGGTCGATGTCACCATACGGACGCAGGCCGCAGACCGGGGGACCATCTTCGACTCGGCGTCTCTGTGCTCGTCTTCCTATTATATGCGAAGCATAACTCGGCATAGCAACGAGTATTTCGAGTATATGTATTTTTATTCAATTGATAAGCTCTCTCGTGCTTCATCCCGGCTCCCCCCCCGTATAATTTTCCTCGCTTCAGCAACGTCGACGACGGGCGGCGCGCGGCTTCGATTCCACACGAGATTCCGCGGTGCACAACGTCCCATATTATCCACGGACTTTCCATAACGATTAGCCAGGAGAAAAGTGCCGGCGGCGACGAGCTTCTCGGTACGCCTTCTCTCCATCGTGTATATCATACTTCCCTACTTCGTCATGAAATCATCTTTCTCGGTCTGGACGTTACCCGGACGGCGCTGACGGTTCCCCCCGATGCGACTAATAAATCTCGACTCCCGCATGCATGCCGCGTATGAGATCGTATGTAAATCCACTTCTCGCCAGTTTAATGCAAGTTTATATCTCATCGTCCCCATTCCGTTAATGATCTTCTATGAACTCCTAGCGAATAGCGGGAGTTCACCAGCTCCTTTCAGAAGATATCAGATCGTAATTTTTGAAAATACAACTTTATCGGTGCTCCAGGTTTCTATTTCGTAATGTCATTTATAACTTTATTAGCGATTATGATTTGTGAAAGTTCTTAAACGTAAATACATTGTAACGACTCGCATACCCTCATTCCACTTTACGCTTAAATTCTGGCTTACATCGCTCTCGGAATAACCGATTACAAGATGGGGATAGCCGTTTCCGTGGCCGTTTCAATCACGAAGAGAGAGCTAACAGGAAAGGAAAGAAGGCTACTCCAGTTACGTCAATACGTATTTGAGCGCGATATATCGTGCGAGCGGTAATCGCGCCATGAACGCCTCCGACATACCGCACGGACCATCGCTCCGCGGGAAACGATAACGATCGGCTTTGATTCCCGTATATTTTTGTCATGAATATAATGTACGGACTCAATAATAAATCGCTACGATAGTCGGACGAAATGCACTCCGCGAAAATACTCGCGCGCACGCACACACACACACACACACACACACACACACACACACACACACACACACACACA